GAGTGAGTGCAAGTTTTCTTTAGGGCAAGATGCTCTTTTTTTTGATAGACCTTGGGCTTCAAAAAAGGTATCTTGATCAAATTATCCTTAAATATGGAATTTGGAGTCATGATTTATTGTTGTTCCAATTTTTTTCCCAATTAAACTTTTCCAAGGTTGTAGCATCCCATTCAGGTGGCACAGTGGTGCTATGACTTACTTCAGAAACTAAGATACCACTAGCAGTGCAACACAGTTAACACGAGTGCACACTAAACATACTTTAGCTACATCAGTGGTAAGAATCAAAATACATGTAATTGTCACACAAAGGCTGCCACAAAGGATGTATCATACCAAAATTAGAAGTAGAAGATATTGAAAAACACTGTCTTACCTCATGAGCTCAAATTCTCCATCAGGTGGTATAAAACTAATTGCCCTTTCTGTTTCAAACTTACTGAGCTTTACACACTGCAATAAAAACATACAAAATAGATAAAATACAAAAATAATGAGGAATCAAGAAATTTCATACAGAAATTTGTGGAATATTTTCAAAACATTCAAGAATCAACCTGGTGGAATGTGCAGTCATCAATTGCAATTCCTGACTTGCTTGTGGTGTTTCTGAAAAGGAAAACAGAACTTAGAGAACTGGAGAACACAGACCAGGCTTAGCATTTTGCCATTGTCAGCCCAAACATTTTTTGGGCATATTGCAGGTAAAATTTTTAATTATTGAAGCTTTGTATAACAAGCACACTGATATGTAAACCACCAAATTTCATAATTTGGTTTTATCAACTCAGTTGATCATATAAATTGGCCACCCTAAACAGTTTATAAAGCAGATGTTCCAAGCATCAGCCCTTCATCAGGGAAACATTTTGAGTTTGGATTCCACATTTAAAAACAGGTCATTACCAGTATCAAATAATTATAAACGATAACAAACAAAAGAATAGAGATATTCTGTTGAGAGAAGAAAGTACTAGAACTTCAAAGAGATCTACATAATTAACCCTGTAAATCCCAAAAGTGATTAACTTGTTACTTCTCCCCAAAATATCCCTACATTATCCAGCAAAAAGGTAACAAGAATTCTCAAACTTATTAGGTAAAAGTTGTTATTTTGATCTAACATCAAATTCTCCTGGCTACTTTACAAAGAAATGTGTAGCAGCTAGAGTTAGAGGGGAGAAATATCAGTCAATCAGATCATGGGAGTTAAAGAGTTAATCTGCTGCACTAACTTCTTTTGTGGATCAAGCGATGGCTCAGAAGTTCCACTCTTCTGTTTCTCTACCACTAGTTTGTCATTCATTCCAAATTTACATTCTGGCATTCCTGACAAGAAACTCTTCATGACAACTCGTCCAGAGACATGAGCACTTAGAACTTGACCTTCAAAAAGGAAAAAAACACACACAACTTTTTAGTTTCTGCAACATAATCCTACTTGGAGAGTAGGTTAGATTTTAGTGTTCATAGTCACCTTAACCTCAAGTCATTATTTAAAATGATCATTAACAATTCCCTTAAAAGATCTGCTGTCAAGATGGATGACATGTTTCAGCAACCGTAGTAAGGACATTCATACCAACACATGGTCCTTGAAAAAAAAGTTGTCATCATAAAATGCCATCCCAATTGTTTAAATTCCACTTGCAAATATATTAGGAACTCTGGAGATCATGACAGAGATTAAACTTTTTTGACAAACCTTGTGGTGACATGAGCAGATTAACTGATTCCAACACATCAAGAAACAATTCATTTCTTCTGTACTTGATTCCTTCCCTTCTCCAGCCGATCTGTCCTGTAACCTGGCTTGTGATCTGGGCCTGCTCTTCCCGTGTCTGCACCAGAGAACAAACAAACAAAATTTTCAAAACCTAGTGTTTATCTTCCAGGCTTATCTTGTGTCCTGTACCTGAAAACCTCCCCCTGAAGTTTCAATTATTAATGCCTGAAGGAGTCCTCTCTACTCCATAAGTATTTTGATGCCAAAAGAAAAAATTTTGGAACAGAGAGAAAGAAAAGACAAAAACAGAATTGATGTCTCCAGGTAAGGACTACCAAAACAGAACATTGGTCCTTCCATTTCAGCTGACAACATGAAACTTATTATCCAAAACTCAAAACAGATGTAACTTTCAACCAATTGAGAATCTTTACCTGCAGCAACATCAAACAAAACATATCCACCATATCAACAATGATGCACCAAGAGGGTGCACATGTAAGTTGTTGCAAGGTCATTCTATTAGCATGCACACTAAAATTAAAGGGAGCCTTTTTCTCACTGGGCACTCCAATTTTATAATATTCTTGAAAATAAAATTTAGTCAGAACTTTTAACAAAAGATAACTGACCTGTGACTTGATTCCTTGTTGAGTGATGAATGTTTTCAAAATAGCTGTATCAGTCTTCTGAGGATATCCATAATCAGCTATTTCTATTTTCAAAGAAAAAGAAAGAAGAACCGGGTTGTTACTCAACATCTTTCGGAGCTGCAAGGTAAAACTATTTTGGTTGCCATGAAAAGAAAGGAAAAATGATGGTGAATGAGTCTGCAGAGAAAGTCACTGATTTGGTGACCAATATTCAGTAGTCATGTACAAACTGTGTCAAGTGAAGACAATTCCTGTAGGTCATCAAGAAAAAAGATGTATAATCTTATACAAAACATTGTTTGCTGTTTATTTTTCTGGCTAATAAAGTTGATCTCTGGCGACCATCCTATGATTTTAGCAATTAAATGACAACTTGCAATAAGTTCAAGCTTGGACCCCATCTCCCTCCCCCCCAACCTTATTAGGTTTGCTTTTGTTTGTTTTTTAAACAAAAGGTTACACTTCCATTTTTCAGGAAGGCTGTGCAACAAAAGCCCATTCTATGAGCAAATGATTTAGCTAAATGAACTAACCATCAAGAAGCTCATAAATGAGGACAAAGTTGTTTTTAATTCCTTCCTCAGTGACTTTTCCAAAGTAGGAAATCATAATCTCCACAGTACGATTCAGAAACTCAAACACCATAGCAGCATTTACATTCTGCCTTGTCACAGCAGCCAGCCAAACATTTCCTTGCCGTATGTGGAAGAAACTTGTCCTGGCGATGTTAGTAACTGGTGAACGCACCTGGCCTCTGGCATGAATAACATTCACACGAAAAGCATCCACAGCATTTCGACTAAACAATGAAAATTAATGCAAGTTATTTAGAATGAATAAGAGAGAACTTAATCATTCAGCTAGCAAACATCTTAACTGTACATGCACACAGGATGTCTTTAAGATCATGATACATTAAGTAACAAGTCCATATCATGGGTCTGAGCATCAAAATGCTCCTTGTGTGCATACAAAGTAGAACACTGGAAACATGTCAGTGTCAAAAACCTAACTGATAAAAGGCAAACCAGCTGGTTATTTACATGCAAAGCCCAGAACTTGTACTGCTTACACAGTAACTCATCAAAGAATTTTGTGGCTTCTTGGAGACTGTCCTCTCTTTTTCAGTGAGAGCTTAACCACTCTAAAGCCCTTTAACCCCTTCATGTGACTAGAATCTAATTTCTCCTTACAATATAATCCCTTAATCATACATTAAAGAAGCTTGTGATTGTTAAAAGATTCTACTTGTCAGCACCTTAGGGAATGTATAGGGAACAGTGTGAAGAATATGTATGCTGTTGTAAAGAGTTGACAGAGCCCTTAAACTTACGCTAGGACTCACATAAATCAAAGTTTCAATCCCAGCATGTCACAAGCTTACTTAATTAAGGTATCTAATGATTCGATTACTAGCAAAACCTCCAACACTATTCAAAATGTCGTAACATGCCTTCATATCAATTGTGCTCGCGCAGCAAATGGATAAAGATCTGATTGAGCGAAGTCATACATCAAACGTTGCTACAACTTACCCAATATCGTCCCGATACACCCTCGAAATTAACACCTCTCCTTTATGATTGTAGATGAACAAGCCACCGATCATGTTGAATAGCACAGTTTAGCAACAAAACCAATTTTTTTACGACGAACAGTTAGCTTTCCAGTAGTTAAAGGTAAATTTTAAAAGGGCAAAGTTGGAAATGACGAGGTTATTCGACTAAAGTTTCGGTATCTGTACCCTAGATCAAGCCGCCATTTTCGACTAGAAGACACCCCACTCTCGCAGCTAAAGTTACTATATAAGGAAAAATCTACCATACTTGGATGAAATAGTTCGAGCCTAGTCTTTTCAATTTTTCCCTCTTCGCACGCGCTAAGTTTTTGGCGAGGTTACATAATAATAATTTCAAATTGGCGCCATGGTTTGTTATGGCGGAGGAAGAACAGGAAGAAAATTGGCCAGAATTTTTCGAAAACAACCGTCTCATTCCAGTTCATCCGAATCGACGGAAATCAGGGTCTCACTCCAAGGCCAGTGTTCCATTTTGTCTCGTTCTCAAGTCCGTGATTGGTATATCTCCACCTCAAGTTTATGTAAGTTTGTTGCCGTGGTAGTAACGCAAGCAAATTTTAGTTGAGGTCATAATATGAAGCTCGTTAAGGTTATTGTGACCTTTACTTTAGAATTGATTTATTTTTTTGCACAGAGCAACATAGAAAACCTTCGCATCAGTATTGTTTGCCCTCTTGCGTGCTTCTTGGCCGTCATATTTTGGAAAAAAATTGTAGTGTCTAGATTATCACTGTTTCCTGTTCGTTCTTGTTACTTTCTTCGTTTTGCTTTTTAAAAAAATGTTCCATGCAATTATTATATTTTTATCCTTTACTATTCAATTCCTGACCACCAGCTGATCCCAACAATTTTTTTAGAATAAATAAAGCCTTGTTTTCAGATCAGTGTCTAGGTTGATTTCATGACAAAAGCTTGCGTTATTACTACTAGTATTATCAATGATACTTTTTTTTAATAATCATTGCCTTTGGAAGTGCATGTAGTTACTGTAAAATCCTTTTTCTATTTCGCAAGTTTTCCATGTAACCCAATACTTCACTATACAGTGCTTGGATAAAAACAAACAAAAAAACAATGGCAAACAATTGATTACTTTGGGACTTTGGCTATGTTTTAGAATATTATAGGGTTATGGGGAAATATTTCCTTTATTTTATCTCTATTTTTATAGGATGTTGTTTCCCAAGACATAGAATTCCAGTTGCGATTGACACTGTATGATGCAGCTTATAAATGTTTCTTTGGGAGCACATGGCTTGGACCCTTTTTTCCAAGTAGTGGGAAGGAGAATGGCAGGCACAAAATTGTCTTTGAGGAGGTATAATGTCATTTTCTTCCAAAGGAAAGGAGAAGAAAATGCACCTAGAAAGACCCTATTAACTGTGTTTGAGGTCTATACTGTATGCTAGCAAGGAACTGAGTTTTTCTGCTTGGATTTATAGCCCAAGCGTAAGGTTCTGTAACCTACAGTACAGTCCAAGAAAACAAGGGTACTAAGATATTTATCTTATTTTTGAGCTCAAATAGAGGAGGAGGCTTTTAATTCAAACAAACTTTTGAATTTAGCAGGCCATACAGTGAAATGCCGCCTGCAAATTTGACCAGTCATGGTGCAGATATGAACTGAGAGAATTGCACAATCATGTAATGACTGGTTCACTATTTTGGGGAAATTAAAGTTTTTGTGTTATAATAACTCACCACATATATTAAAGTTCACACGGCAACCAGGTGGACAATCAGACATAGTTTGAAGCTACACTGGTTTGCAGATTTAATGAATGTAACCGAAGAAGTTACAATTCATAGACCCAACGTTTCGACACTCCTGTCTAGTGCCTTCATCAGGGGTGATCTAAACGCTGCAACAAGAGGTCCTTTTATATGATCACTAATTAGCGGCCTTTTTTCTGACGAGGTGTAAATAGGCGTCAGGAAGCAGACCGCCATCGTCACGATTTAAAGGAGCGTGGGCGGAGTTAACTCACCACATATTGCTCCATTGTCATGGTGATTAGTTTTAATTTGTGTTCAGCATAATTAACTGTAAAGCAAAAGATCACAGTGAACTCTTTTAAGTTATCCATTTAAATTATTATGTATTGACATTTTATGAACAGAAAATCTATTTTTGTTTTACAGACAGTATATCTTTACTCCTCTCTACATGATATCACATGTGTTGGGGTGGTTGAAGTCATTGGGGAAGGTAATGTAACCTTGAAACCTGAAATTGTAAAATTAAATGCAGAAATAAAGCAATTAACCCTTTAACTCCAAAGATCTCATTAATATTTCTCCTTACTATCTGTCGGACAGTTCTTGTGATGTTAGTTTGGAGAGTTTGGTTTTGAATCAATTTATAATCCTCTAATTTATATTTTTCTTTTTTCTCATCACTTGTTTGCTTGATATTGTATTGATAATGTAAGGAGAAATTCTGTCTTGGTCACTCATAGGAGTTAAGGGTTAAGTAGCTAAATAGTAAAACATTGGACAAGGATTTTGTATCATTTAACGTAACAGGCTATGCCACTGATGACACAATTTGCCTTTGAAGCATATACACCAATATAATAATGATTCATTCAATTTTTGTACTGGTGTAGTACTATAACCTTCAAACTCAAATTTTGTCTAGAAAGACATTTTTTTTATTGTTTTATGATTATCAAATGAACTTTATTTTCAAATTCACAGTGAATGGTCAAAGTTTTGGTTGTGGATGGACACTAATACGAATTTTTGACAGACTCTCTGAATTATCAGAAACAACTTCAGGCCAATCCACTCCAAAAAGGTTAGTTAGATGCAGTGGTTGACTAGTTAAAACAGCTTGGATCAAACTTGACTAAGTATGGAAAACTTAATAAATGTGCAAAATGGAATTCTTGACCTTTAATTTTTTTTTGCTTGCGAACTAATGTAATTTATTGTTGTTTGACCTTCTATTTTGGTCTGATTGTATTTCAGTGTTGAATGTTAAGAAAGGTCTAGAGTCTATATTTTAATTTCTGCTTGCTGTTTTATTTTTCCTCATAAAATAGCATTCCTTTGTACCATGGGTCACCCGCTGGTCTGCTTTGTATCTCTGAAACAATTGAAGGTAGGTACATGCAATTGCATTGTCCAAAATTACAGTGCTCTCCATTTTTTGGAGCTGGCCAGTAAGTGGTGTAACTTAAAAAGTGGGCAACAACATTAACTAATATATGAATGATGAAATTATGGAAGACTTCTTAAAACCAGGTATACACAAGTTACAATAAGTAAATGCATGTGCTGCATTTTGGAAACAAACTTAGCAAGGAAGTTTGCCATGGATTTATCTTTGCAAATCTTTTTAATTCACCATATCTCTTGGTAAGATTATGATGAAACATTCTTGTTGCCAATTTGGCAACTAATTTTCAGGATTTGGTCACCAAAGTGAAAAATTTAGTTGCATTGGTGCCTGTATTGGGCGCAATTTCACGCCCTGAAAATTTATGACACTAATCCTTTTTAGTGTTGTGTTTTACATATTACTGTTTATCAAAATAACATTGGAAGTTAAGCCCTGTTCAAATGGTAATGATAGTTGATGATAGTCAATTATACTGTAGTTTCAACTTTTGGTCACTATTATTGACTATCATGTTTGTATTCAAATGGTTCATGATAGACCATGATAGTTAACAAAATCATGCAAAGAGGTCGCGTAATTTTAAACAAGTATGGGACGTGCTGAGGTCAGCAATTTCAGTTGCATTTGAAATTTTTGCTAAGTTGCAAGCTGAAGATAGTGAAACCCACTAGGAGATGATCAAAATGAATTGCAAGACATCCTGCAGAATTGTGGGGGCTACTTTAGTCATTTTATCATTTGCCATTTCTGTTTGAGCCTATTTTTGGCAAAACTACTGACCAAAAAAATATCATTTGCTATCATCTGCTTGTTCAAAGAGCAAAAGCTATCTTCAGCTATCATTTTGAATTTGAACGTGTTCAAACCACATGATACTTGATGATAGTCAATGAAAGTGTATGATAGTTCATGTTCAAACATGCTTGATTGTTGAAACTGTCATTAACTATCCTGACCATTTGAAGGGGCCTTTATTCTTTTTATGAAGTAGTTGTGTCATTTTTCTTTTTCTTTAAAGAATCATCCAGTCTACTCCCAATAGAGGCATGCACCCTGAGTTTTGTTCTTCAAATCCATCCACCCTTGGAAAAGGTTTTTCACCTGATTCCTGAAAATGCCATCATGAGTGGTGATGACTTTGTGCCAGGAATTTTGGAGCCACAACCAGATGGTAAAGCCTTCTTTAAAACTTTTCTCAATTAAATATCATGCTGTATGAAAATGCAATTTTCTATTTGCAACAATAATGTGCTTTGTTACATGGCTAATGCAGATTTCAATTTACTATTTGTTAGGGTCTGGAATTGTAGATATTTTGAAGAAACCCAGGCTGGCAAAAACTACACCAAGTTTTGTTAATAAGGTATCAGCTCAAAATAAAACATTATTTCGCATTGTATTTAGTCTTGACACCAGGGCATCCAACAAGGGCCAGTAGGCAGTTAAATTTTTTGTTCACTCCACACGATTTCCCTGACCCTCTCTTTAGCACTTAGTAACTTGCTAAGCTTAAGAGAAATTTTGTACAGAACATGAGCTTCAAACTTATACCTTATTTTAGTTTAAGAGTACAGGAAATGCCCTCTAAGAGACCCAAATTTTAAAACATGCTCAGGATAGCATGCTCCTGGGCTGCACCTAGAAGTCACAGTACTAGCACCAGTGATCAATTCCCACCCACTTCCCTTTGCATTTTCCATCTGCTCTGATTCTTATTTAAAAGCCCAGGGCATGAGTTGTTTTCCACTTTCTAGAGTGGCAATCATCCCTGTTTTCTGTAGTTTAAAGTGTCTAGAAGTATTACTGTAATTGTGCCCTGCTTGTAATGCTTTAGAGTTTGTTATTTTGTGGAAATAAACCAGTTACATACAGTCTTCAATAACATTTAATGTCAGTGACAGAGGTCTCATAGATTTGACTTGTTACATTGTGGTTCCCTTTTGAGTGGTAGAAGTTTTACTTTGAGCCTTGCGGATAAATATGGCAAGAGTGCCATTGCATCATTTTTTAATTGTATGCTGTTAGCCCTTACTTGGACAGACCTACATGTAAGCCATGAAATGAAGATCCCTAAGCACACCAGGACACTGTCGTTTGTTAATGATATTACTGATCACTTTGCAGCTGAGTATTATGCTGTATCCATCAGTTGAAGAGTTTGAAGATGAACTTCAGCAAACGTTCAATCAGGATAGGCTACACAGGGTACTGCTCTGGTTTTTATAATCTGGCACTTTTGCTCTTCCATAGATCACCACTTACTTACAGGGCCATATAGTACAAAGACTTTCTACCAACTCCATTAAATATAATTGCACCCCGAAATTCAAACAGTTATTAATAAATTGTGATTATAGTTAATTCTGATTAATGTATGACTGATTAGAGATGTTTTGTGCAGCACAGTGAAAGTGATAATTATCTGGGAATGATAGAGAGAAGTGAAGGAGTTTACTGCTAACACATTCACTGTCATTATAAGGAGAACTTATTCATTTCATGAAATTCCTTTTAGAACAATATTATACCTGATGATGGACTGCAGATTTCAATTGTGGAGAGAAGACTAAAGGTTTGTCAACTTTGTATGTGTGATCATGATTTTGTTTTTTGATAATTTTAAGGTGCATTGTCAAATATGAATGAGTTACTCTGACTCATTTGTTTGTAATGATTTTGTTTACTCCAATTAAACTGCATGAAGGAGTTGCTATTTTCTTTGCCTAAACCACACCATGACAAAGCATATAACTAGAGGCATTTGTACAAACTTCATGTATTTAACCTTCCCTGTGTTTGTTGTTTCATGTGATACAAATTTTTCTGCATGTTCAAAGGTCTCAGTACACAATGGATGGACATATGTAAGTGAACCTCACATAGTGTACCTTGAACCAGAGTATGAAGGTGGGAAATCTGGAAGAAAATCACCTGCTTCACAGTCATCTTTAAGAGGTAAATTGTCTTCATCCAAATATCAGTACTGCATATACATGTAGCACTTAGTTACTTGACCAACACGTATGTACATGTTGTATACTTGGTTAAGAATATATGAAAGTCATATATTTGAATTGCAGATAAAGACGTGAATGAAAGTGATCCTCGCAGTAATGTGCACTACTTAGGCAGTAGTGAAAATAAGGCCTGAAAAAAATTCAGGCCTGTACGGGATTTGAACCCATGACCTCTGCGATACTGGTGCAGCGCTCTACCAACTGAGCTAACAAGCCAACTGGGAGCTGAAAGAATATATGAAAGTCATATACTTCATATATTCTTTTCACTACTGCCTAAGTAGTGCACATTACTGCAAGGATCACTTTCATTCACGTCTTTATTCGCAGTTCAAATATATGACTTTCATATATTCTTAACCGTTTATTTCATCACTTCACGGGTTTATTTAGAACCAACATCATGACCAGCTCCCAGTTGGCTTGTTAGCTCAGTTGGTAGAGCGCTGCACTGGTATTGCAGAGGTCATGGGTTCAAATCCCGTACAGGCCTGAATTTTTTTCAGCCCTTATTTTCACTGCTACCTATTGTAAGTAGTGCACATTACTGCAAGGATCACTTTCATTCACGTCTTTATCCGCAGTTCAAATATATGACTTTCATATATTCTTAACCATTTATTTCATCACTTCACGGGTTTATTTAGAACCAACATCATGACCAGCTTCCAGTTGGCTTGTTAGCTCAGTTGGTAGAGTGCTGCACCGGTATCGCAGAGGTCATGGGTTCAAATCCCGTACAGGCCTGAATTTTTTTCAGGCCTTATTTTCACTACTGCCTAAGTAGTGCACATTACTGCAAGGATTACTTTCATTCATGTTATATAATTGTCACAGAGGCATTGATATTGGCCTTGTATTTTGTTGTTTAGCTTTCTACATTTTCCTGAATTTGCCAATTTTTTTGTATAGATGATGAATGAGAGTATTTTTCATCTTTCCCCTCTAATTTACTTCTCTTTTGTAGGAAAAATCCTCTCCTTGGCCCTTCGCAGTCGACTGGAACTGAAGGAGCTTGTTCATCATCCATTATTTGCTATTATCTTTGAACTAGAATATGTTTTGTCTGAACCATTTGCTCAGCCACTAATCGAGACCAAACGTAAAAAGGTTTGTTAATATACTTGGTTTTTTTGGTTCAGTAGAGGGGAAGACTGTGATGTGTTTTTGAGCTTTATGTGGTCCTAAGTTGGTGAGTTTTTGGTTTGTTTGATTTTTTTTTTGTTGCTGTTATTTTCTTGTAGTTCCCTTTTCTTTTTTACTGAGATCATCTAGCCTCCATCCAGCTAGTATCTGGAGTACCATTCCTAGACACCAAGGGCTGCTTACTTAAACAATTGTCACAAAGTTTAGCGCTCGCTCTTCAAATCTGCATTCTTAACCATTATCAATTTAGCTATTTTTTATATTTCATCCTAATGTTGGTGTTTGCGAAGAGTGTGACAAAGGCATATAATTAACACTGGAGAAGGATTTATTAGAATCCAGTTGGAACCAAAATACAAATAAATTGTGGGAAACTAATTGTCTAAAACCAGGACATTGGTTAAACTTTGTTAAAATGATGTTGTGGCTTACTTTTTCTGTCCATTCTCATGTCAATCTTTTAGCCCTCTCTGTCTGGCAGCCTGATGCGGTCCCAGAACCAGACTGTAACAGTCAAGTGGGCTTTATGGCTTCCATTTGAGGGTGGAAGCCCAGAGGAGAGGGAGACCTCATTGGAACTTACTGGAGGCTGTGAAGGTTTCCCAGGTGACAAGCTGGTGTTTGCTAAAAAACTACTACAACCACCTGGAAAGAAGGTATACATAATTAATGAATCTTCCCTATTGTGCCTTTTGGAATAAAGACACTTATATTTCATGAAACATTTTGGTGTGTAGTATGGCAAAGTATTTTTTTTTTTTGAGTTGAACTGTATTTTGACAAGCCTTCTGGGTGAGTCAAAATACAACCAACGAGTACACAAAGCATCAAATAAATTCTTCATCATCCAATTGCTTTTTAACTATTTTTGTCCATTAATTGCTAATTTAAAAATGTCATCAATTTTTTTCCCCCTTGAAGCTATTGTCCATTTACATATACATGCCCAAGGCGTTGAACTGAGAAATTACCTCCCCCCCCTCAAAAAAAAAAAAAAAAAAAAACTCTGTAGGTGATCAGAAAAATAAATTAGCCTTGAAACTAGATTTGGTAGCATGCTCACCCCTCTGCCACACTCCCATCCTAAAGGTCCTTCCTTAATTGTCTATTTTTTTTTGTCATTTCCTTGGTATGATTTGAAGGAAAAACATCACATATGTTGTGTTAAAGTTTTATTTTTGGTTCAAATTTTACTTTAAGAATTATTCAAAAACCTAAGTTTTTATTCAATCTACAGTTAATTTCTTTTACTATAATCAGTCTCATCTCTATCTAAAATTGATTAAGACATGTTGATCTCTATCTAAATTTTTATTTTGAGTAAATAATGCCAAAGACTAAATGATTTATAAAAAGATGGAAACTATGTAAAAAATGCATTGTGCATCTGTAAAACAACCAAGGTCAGTTATGAGAAATGGACACCAGTGAACTATCAGGATGACTTAAAAAAATAAATAAATAAAAACCTGGCTGACTACATGGTATCGACTAACAAGCTGTGTAGGAGTAATAACAATTACTTGTAGTTTCTGAATGCTATGGAAGTCAACATATTCCAAATGGTTGGAGATTACAAAACTTGTAGGTAATCTATAGTATACCATACCTCAATTTTGTCTTTTTTAGGCACCCAAGTCTGGTGGAGTAGTAAAGTTTCTGTTCACCCAGCAGCGCAGGAGAGGAAGCAGTTTGCGCTCTTCAACTCAAGGATCTCAGATGCTTGGGGTGCCTACCTCCCCTGGTCTTCCCTTCCCAGGCCCCTTCGATAATGCTAGAGGAATGTTTGGTTCTGTCAATAATACCCCAGGGGGCGGATATCAAGGAATGTTGCTCACACCGGGTGTGGCATCAAGACCTCCACTTCCACCAGGAAACAGGTAATTTAGTCAAATATTTTCTTTCTATTGAATGGAACTATACAGCAACACTTAAAAAAGGTGTCTAACTTATTTGGCTGTTTGTTCATCATTATGGGATAAACTTTCATGTGTGTTTTTCCTTTACAAATATAAGTGCTTTTGTCAATGTTCTAAGATTCTTCCTAAAGTAAAGAAAAGTTCAAAAATTAAATAAGTAACTTTGAACAAACATTTAAGAGAACTGTCTATAATTGATTTGCATGCGTCAACCACCGAACACTTTGAATAACAATGCAAAGTTCAGAAAATACTGTACATTCAATGAACATATAAGAAGTTTTATCAGCCTGTAGTGTTGGCATCGGATTTCTCATTTGACTCCTTCATTTTCTGTTGAACAGAACTACTTCTGGCTCCAGTGTCTGTCCACCTTTTATCCTGCAGGTGAAAGCGGTTGTACGTGAGAGCTCTAAGACCATTTTGTTCACATTCATAAGCAAAGACCATGTCCTCTAGTACTTGTAGTTCAGGTCTATAGTATATGTCCTTCGACTTGAGTGCCTCTAGGTTGAGATACACAGCCATCCGTGGAGGAAGGGGAGCAAGTAGGTCTTTCAGTTCAGGTTTTGGGCCCCTGAATCGCCTTGGGCTCATGGCTGCGATGGGGCAAGGGTTGGACTTGGCATTCTGCACCAAGCCTTCAATATCTTGAAAAACGAGGCTGAACTTTCGCCTTCTTTCTGGAGCATATTTAGTTCCTTCTCCATCTGTGGAATGATACTCGTAAAAGCACTCAACACTGTCATCAATCATCCAAATGAACTCCAACTTCAATCTTAGAGCAAATTTTTGTATCCACAGTCTGGGATATCCAGCACCAATTTCATCATTTGGTAAGCTGATGATGTGAAACTCGTGTCCACAGTACTTGACATACTCTTGGAATTCTGTGGGTCTTACGACAAGAATTCTGATGGTGTTTTCGGGAGTCATGATGTCATCTTTCGGCCAATCCAGCAGAGCAATTTGCGCTCGACGAAAGGAGGGTATGAAAATCCATCTTTGTTTGATCTTGTCGGGTCTTACTGCTCTAATTCGCTTACCAGTCTTATCGCTATGGTCGAGCCAGTGTGAAGTGTTACCTGGTAAATGAACCTTGCACATATATTCGCAGTCTAGAAACCACGTCGGCGGTCCTTCTGGCGGCGGTCCTTCTGGCGGCGGTCCTTCTGGCGGCGGTCCTTCTGGCGGCGGTCCTTCTGGCGGCGGTCCTTCTGGCGGCGGTCCTTCTGGCGGCGGTCCTTCTGGCGGCGGTCCTTCTGGCGGTAGCAGAGAATAAGCCTTAAAACTTTGTTCTCCCTCTGGTAAAGATGGCTTGTCCTTTGGCCTCTGCTTATCAACTATTTCCTTAACGTGTGGGGATGGGTTTTGAAGGATGTTTGTGGTAACTAAGCCTCCGTTTTCTTTTTTCAATATCTCTTCAAGCTCTTGCCGACACGTTTTGCCTCTTATTTCCTTGACAAATGCAGGTAGTTTCTGATATATTTTTCCTAAATCAACCTTACCCGAAGTTTTCCATTCGTTGCTCACCGTGTACACTGAAGATTCATCCACTTTGTCGCGCATAGGTGTGGAATCCCACGGATCTCCCTCAATCAGTTCTCCTTTGTTTACCTCAGGAGAAAATGACAATTTTTTTCGTGCTCCTTTCTCCGTTTCATTTCTCTTGCTCTTATTCTCAGGGGTTTGATCACCTCCTTGCTTTGTATCTTCACCATCGCTGTTTCCGATATTCAAATCATCTACCTCTTCAGTCAGTTCATCTACTATGTCTTTTGGTTTTTTACTCTTCTTCTCTTTCGACATGCTCATCTGACGATTTTCCTGTGCTAAATTGTACGGTGTAGGCTGAACGAGGAAAGATCCCTTGCTCTCGTACTAGCTGCCAAATACGACACACACCGAGCAGCCCGCTGTGCAGATACCAAGTGTACGACGTCCTTTGAAGTGTCTGGGAGGGGTTTGTTGTGGCCGAAAGAGCGTTAATTGCGATCGTTTTCCTATAGATCACCTTCCGACAGAAGTTTTACGTAGTGAGCATAGGTTTGTTAGATTCAGCAGTTTTTATCAGGGCGACACTGAATGCTAGTAACTGCAAGAAGGAATTGATAAATCATGTGATTACAGTCGAACCTCTTGAATTTGACGACCTGAGATTGGTTGGATGTGAACAGCTGTCAATATTCTTGACTGCAACCTAATTTGTCTGGTCGAATGAAGAAGGAATTGATAAATCATGTGATTACAGTCGCACCTCTTGAATTTTGACGACCTGAGATTGGTTGGATGTGAACAGCTGTCAATATTCTTGACTGCAACCATAGTTAGTAGAGGAGACTGGTTATGAAAGTCGGCAATCTTCAAAGCGCGAAACAATAGGGCCGCTTCTGATGTTGAACGTACCTGACACGTGATCGCGACGGTGCACACTTTCAAAGACGGCGGATGCAGGAGACGACTTATTCTTGTTCGGCGATGAGTTTGAGGCAATTTTAGACCTTCTTGACGAAGATGAAGCACTACAGGAACAATTTTCAACTGTTGCTAGTGAAGTAAGTGCCAATTATATAAACATTCACCCGTACTTAGTCTGTTTCCAAAGGAATTACGGAGTTGTACGCGACTGTGCTGTCACGCCAGCCAAAAAACAGTAAATAAAACATTGATCCGACGGTTTCGATGATTCTTTTCCCTCTATACTCTAGCAATTTCATAAAAAAATGCGTTCACTTTCTTTAGCAGAAGTGCTCTGGATGCTTTAGGTGCTGAATCTGCCCGATTATACTTTGTTTTGAGAAGACTTCAGGGGGCATGCAACGACAACAACAAACTCGATATTGGCAAATGTGTCTTTAGGAAATAAGACCAGTGACAGTAGATCGTTGAAAGTCGAGGCCTGAAGACTACAATATTATTGAATTATGATTTGATACTTTTTCGTTTTCAGGTCGAATCAACAGAGATCGTGTGCAGCGACTGTGGAAAAAAGTACAAATCAAGAGGAGGCTACCAAAGGCACAGAGCTACAAAGCACAATGCAGATCAAAACGCACATCATTTAACTTTGACGCCCAACTACTACAACTAGCATAGAACTGAAATATCTTACTAGTTGTTCAATTCCCTGCCTTATACATTATTTTTTAAAATTTTCATTGCCCAGCAACCGGTAGTAACTGCTCTGAATATTGCATTCAACATTTAATTTGTTAATGTTGGATTACAAGTAAAAAAAAAATTGTTAGTCATCACGAATTGGAGAGACCTTTTCCTGAGCACCTTGTAACAAAAAAGAGTGATATGAAAATACAGTAAACTTAAAATAATATTTGGGGGCAGTCACTGAGGGCTGTGGGCTGGGGATTCCCCCTTCCCCCTCCCTGTGCCCAACTACTATAACTAGCATAGAACTGAAATATCTTACTAGTTGTTCAATTCCCTGCCTAATACATTATTTGTTAAAATTTTTCATTGCCCAGCAACCGGTAGTGACTGCTCTGAATATTGCATTCAACATTTAATTTGTTAATGTTGGATTACAAGTA